CCTCAACATTAGCTTTTAATTGCAATGGGCACCTCTTATTGAGATATACTGATGTAGGAAAGCGTACGAGTGGGAAAAATAAACGAGATACTCTTTCGATAAAACTCACAAAAGTCAATCAATTCTTATTATCAAATTCACTGCAAATAACAAAGAAGAAGGAGTCTTTAAATAAGACTCCTAAAGTCCTAAACCTAACTTGTTCTCCAATCTACTAAATAATAATAATAATAATAATTATTATTATTATTATATTTATTCTGCATCATATACTTTCTTAAAATTAGACTATATTCCCTTGGTTAAAATTATTCATTGAATTAAGTTGGCAAACAACCAATACACATCATCATTGATATATTTAGATGTATCCACTTGACTCGTAGTTTTTCTCTAATAATAATATGATGTCAATATTTTAACCCATAGTCAGTTGAACATATTGCATATATTAATTTGCACCCACTTGACACATAATTTTTCTTTAATTATAACATGTCAATATTCTAATACACATTGTCTGTTGAACATGCTAAGTTGTGCCCAGATTGGGAGACTAGACTATCTAATTCATTTAAATTTTCTTCTTTTTCTCATAGTTATTTGTGGAGTACTTTTATTTAAAATTTACTTTCTAAGCATAAATATATGTTTTTTCACAGCAGTGCCTGAGAGGGGCAATGGAGCCAGCACAAGAGACAATGGAGCAAGCACATCATCTTGGTTGGGAATGCCAATTTTACTCTTACTCTCTGCTGTGGCATTTCACTATAATTAGGTGAAAATGGGTTTTGAATTTTGATATGTTTAATTCATTCCAATGACTGAGAAAACCCAACTTGTGATCCCTTTGTGATTATTATTTCCCACGTTGATTTTTTAGATTGTATTGTGCATTTTGTGCTATTGTTGTTGATGGTTTATTGTTTTTTGTATCTGAGATGAATTATCGGATGTTGAGATGTTGCATATGTATTCATTGTTTCATGACTTGATTGATGTTATGTATTCCTTGTTGATGGTTTATTGTTTTTCTTTTCATGTTTTTTGTGACACACAAATGGTGTGGAGAGCTGATCTAATGGTTAATATGGATCAACAACCATTAATGCATTTCAAAAGAAACAATATCATTTTTTAGTAAATATTATTTTCTGACATATTATTTTAATATAAAGCGAACATGTATAATGTTAAAGATATAACCACCTAATAGTGTCCTAGCACCAAGGCAGGACACTCTTATTTGGTTTTAGAAACACAGCATTTTATCCTACTTAGGTCAAACCAGGCAACAAATATGACAACACAATATATATATTGTTTCATCAATAATAGTTGCTATAAGCCTATAAAGGAGTTGTAAAAGGACCTGAATATAGTTTCATGTTTTGTGATACATAACAATGTTACTTCTCATGTTCTAGTTTGCCTTTTCACTGTAATTTCTCAGTTAGTCCCTAGGGCAAGTGTTTCTTGCTTGCTTGTCTTATCATGAAAACATGTATTCATTTCATAATTCAAGAAATTGTTCGAAATTTTACACAACTCTTGTACTTGGTCGATCTTGAGTTAGATTATATAAATCCCTAATGGCTCGGATAAACAATGGCAGTGTTACCCGAGTACATGTATTGCAAGCAGCTCTATACATCATTTTTCCTTGTTACAGGGCATTGGACATGGCACTTCTTGGAACTCCTTGCCAGTATACTACAACACGCTATGGTAAGATCACTTGGCTTTTACTTTTTGAAATCTAATGTCAGTTTTCGTATGAACATTGCCACGTGTACTTGTTTTCGGGGCATCATACATAGATTATATCTGTCCTTGTTTGCTTATACGTGCTAGTCAATATTATGAATGAAGCGTTTCAATAGACATAAGATTTTTCTTACGATTTTTTTTTTTTCAGTTTCATTTTTCAGTCAGTCGTCACTCTTCACAACTTTTGATTCAAATCCAAACAAAACGAGACTGAATTGTCAAGTATTCACAAAAAACGAACGTGCGTCTTTTGTTTTTCTTTTTCTTTTGTGGATAAGGTATCTGCGAAGAAAGCACCTTTTCGACGTAACTATGATCTTCAACATGCTCGATTTTGAAAAGAAGCAACGCATATTTTCATGGAAGTGAAGCATCTAGCTTTGTCAATCTTAAAAAAACACTTTTTCTTAAAGAATAGGTCACTCATTAATTGTTATTTGGTGTAGACTGATTTATAATGCACTTGAAGATGAAGAGTAATCACTTACAGAACGTGCGATTTTCCAGATTCGTTGTGAGCAGCGATGGCATTTAAAGGCCGGTTTAGAAGTGTTACTCATCCTCATTCTCTCTTTGTTTCTTCTTTTTTCCTCGGGAAAGTTTGATTTTAGTTCTGGCGTAAATTGCTGTTTCTTCTTTTTTCCTCGGGAAAGTTTGATTTTAGATCTGGCGTAAATTGCTGTGATGCGAAGCTGCTTTTCATTCAGTTGTGATGTCTACAATGGTAGTTCCTTTCTGGTGCAATGCTATATAACCCTTTTTGTTTTCCAACTTACTCTCGACTTCTTGTTACATTGGATGTAGAGCTATAAACGAGTCACGCTAATTGAGCTGATGAACAAACTCAAGCTCGATTTATTAAAATTGACGAGCTAAATTAGAGCTTTAACGAGCCGAGTCTAGCTAGTAGTTAGATCAATTACGTAAACAATCCATTTCTCAAACATAACAAGTGTTGACAAATTGAGCTGAACTCAACTCGTTATCTAAACGAGTTTGAGTTTAAAATAGTTGAGGTGAACTTGAATAGAGCCGAGTTGAGTTGAGCCCACAAACTGCTAGGTTCATATAATCATATGAGCGGTTGGAACTTGGAAGTATTTTTTTAGACTATGTTTGATAGATTCCATAAATTGGGTTGAGATTGGAAAAAAAATAACTGAGGGTAGTAATGAATTAATTTTGAGTTTGTAAATAGATATTAAATAAAATGTAATGATTAAAAAGTAATATAACAATAATTGTAAATAACTGTAATTAAAAATATGTTTGTGAATAAATCTGATAATATTAATATGGTTGAGTTTGATTAGATGAATAGTGAATCTTGAGTTAAAAATGTGTATCCAATCCTAGTTCCGCTCTAAAAAATTAGGGAGATTTGCACCTGTACTGCACGTTTTTTAAATAATTGCACATTTATCACTCTAACCAATTAAATTGTGTTTATACCTAAAAAATAAAAATTAATTAAAGTCATGCCTAAATCAGTTACATGATATGGAACAACCTTTCCATATTTCTAGCCCATAATTTCAGCTCTCAAGATGGAAGGATATCATATTTGAATTTCAATTCATAATATTGACAGATACGGACAGGACAAAAGAAAGAAACACACGCCGGCGAGCAGAATTTTCCGACGGTCTTCATTCAGAATTTTTACGTGATCTCGAGTGTATATCTTAGGTATATTTTATGTATATGTGGGTTCTAAAATCGATTTTGAGAAACGATTGAAACTCGAGTGTATATTTAAAGTATATTTTATGTATATGTGGTGTCGCGGATTTGAGTTACGTGAATCTCGAGTGTGTATTTTATGCATATTTTATGTATATTCTATGTATATTCTATGTATATGTGTGTTGTACAACTTTGGTATATATCCGCAACGTGTAAATTGTCATATCTGATGGTAACATGTAAATCATGTACATAATTTTCATACCCGAAATATACATATTGTCATATCGAAAAATATACTGAAAATATACTATATATACCCACAACATATACCCGCAATATGTACAGAATAGAACAATCTATCAACAAATTAAGCACACCAAGTGTTCGACAATTACCCTCTGAGAAGTTTTTCGTCAAAATAGATAGAAAAAATTATATATTTAACATATACTGTACATATACCCATCATATACTGTACATATAACACAATACAACACAAACGACAGAGGCGCGATCGATCTTTTTCTTAAGAAAAGTAACGTAAATATACCACAAAAAAAAAACACTTGACTGGTCGATTAAAATAAAAAGGTCCCACGATCCGGCGGTTCAAATTTGCCTCCTGCCTACTGAGGAGCATGGTCCGGTCCTCGCACCTCAGTCGCTTCACGCCTATCGTGACCCGAAATATTGTAGGGCACATTCCCTTCTCCGCCGCTCCCTCCGTGCTCGCTGATTTTACCGACATCCTCCCATCCTCGCCCGGATTAGCCGCGTAACTAGACATCGGACTGCATATATTGCCGCAAAAGGCCCCTCAGCCGATTCAATTCCTCGCTCATCTACAAATTCTCCCTCCTGAGCCTATCGTTCTCTTCCAGTATCTCCGGCGACCTTAAGTTCTCTGCTTGGCCGATAGAAGAACGAATTACAGAGGCGGTAGTAATGATCCAAAAGAAAGAGAAAGTTAATTCCTTGAAAAGTGTTCATGAATTTAGGGGGAAAACGATGGAGAACCTTTGCTTCGAGATGTGAACTTGGCGGTGGGATGGGATTGTCAAGAATTTTGTTCAGATTTTTTAGGTAAGTGTATATTTAATATCAATTAATAAAATCATACCATTTAATCTGTCCGCAAAATAAGCTAATGACGGTTATATTTGCCAACACAATATATTAGGTAGATTTGTAATATTATTGTGTTTGTTTAGCTATGTTATAAATAAAAATCAAAGAGATGTATAAATGTAATATAAATGAAATATGAAGGGATGGGGTGTAAATTCCTCAAAAAATTATCCAATGAGACGACCAAAAATTTATTTCCGGTTCTTGCCAAAGAGATCAAACTCATCCCTATATTTACATAAAAAAAAATCAGGTTTCAAACTGAATGCACCCAAACATTTTTTTTCCTTTCTTTCTAGAATTCAAATCCCTAAAAAATTCAGAAAGCAAAAAGCGGTGCAAGATTCAAAATATCCAGACTTGCCCTCTAGTTGAGAATGGGGGTAAGATTACAGTAAACTGAGCATGAAAAGAACTGCAAGTCTTCATATTACCAAATCGTTATACCAATCTGAGAACCCTTTTTTATGTATTCAATAAATCACAACTACAAATCGAGAGACATCAACCAACATTCATCGTCTGTGTCCAAAACGTTGCAGTGTACTCACAATCACAGCAATGGCACTAACCGAGAGCAGCTGTAGAACTTTTTCGAGCAGACTTCGGTTTACTGACAGTCATGCTCAGTACTCGATCAATGAGACCGTATTCGACTGCTTCCTTACCTTTAAACATCTTCGAATAACTTAAGTCCTCGTAGATCTGCATGAATATCATCCCATAAGAACAAGAAAATAAAAGGGAAAGTACGGGCAGTTATCTCCTCAAGTACCCAATTTGGGAGAACCGAAAAGCCAGAGATTTTATTACTAAAATTGGAAAATAAGAAGATTGGAGTTTAAAAGTATGTACCTTCTCGATAGGCTGGCCAGTTTTTTCGGCCAACTCCTTGAAAAGATAGTCTCTTATCCTTAGAAGTTCGTTTGCCTCATTTTGAACATCATCAGCCTGTCGAAAGTTTTCAGAGACACGTCATAAGCTTTCTAATATCGAAAAAAATAAAAAGGCTTTACAGACAGGTGTAAATTATAAGAGAGAAAAGAAACAAAGAGAAAGATCAATGTACCTTGCCACGAGCAGCGCCTGCTGGAGACTGTAATAGGATATAATTGATAGGCATTGAACTTCGACTACCCTTAACAAAATAAAATCGATATAAGATGACAACAAAAAAAGCCTGAATATTAATATTATAATCTTGAAGACAGTTAGTTTGAAGTGATGAAGTTCATTGTTGTTGTTACTATTAACCTAGCCTGGAAAGTGAAAATTTTCGGCAGAAAACGAAAAAATACCTTATCTCCTGCAGCAAGTATAAAAGGTGTCAGACCAGCTGCAAAGCCAAGACAGTGGGTGCCCACACGAGTTCTCAGGGATTGCATAGTATCATAGATAGCCAAGCTAGGAGAAAGCTGGCGATGAGAAGTAAATTTTAGCAAGACAGTGGAGAAGGAAAACTAAAATGACATAGCACGGGAAATTGAAAAAAAAAAAANTTGAAAAAAAAAAAAAAGGAATAAAAAGGGGATCAGATATCTACAGACTTACTTAATAAAAAAGAAAAATAATTTGTTTATGTGAGTATTTAAATAAAGAACTCACATCTCCTCCAGAGGAACTTATGAATACATAAAGCTTCTGATCGTCATCGATGGTATCAAGGTACAGCATTGTGGCAAGTACCTCATTGCCGTACGTTTCAGTTATGGGTTCCGCAAGGAAAACAATTTTTTCACGATACTGCAGTAAACAATCGAGTGAACTTCTTTTGCTGACTAATTCAAGAAATTGAAGTAACCGAGTAGAAGCATATAGGTAAAGAAGGGTTGCAACCGTATTTTATATCAATCGTACATTGGATGAAATAATTTCATTCATCTTGGCCAAAAAAAACAAAAAAAAAAAACAGCAAGTTATTGTAGCCCAAGTAATGAAGGCCCTGAATTGATTAAGGATTATTATCTGATCAACACAGTTTCTTCTCAAACTCTAATGTCAACTACTACATAATATCAGGCAATTCTGAGATGATCTCTCAAATTCCAACTACTACAGATTTTCTCAAAATAAAAGTAGCTAAGATAACTTACAAGAGCATTCCACAAATCAATTAGTGTCCAAGTTCCTTCGTCAGGGTTTCTGTAAACAACGTGTGGGACTCCTATGGGCATCATAGTAACGCAGGCCCTAGTTGGTTTACCGCACCTCCTAGTGGATAAAATGAATCAAGAAAATCATAAACATACACAAATCAAAGAAAATTGAAGTTAAACAAGAACTGTAAGTGTGATTTTGGGAAAATAGAAATGCAATAATTCAGAGAAGGAGGAGCTTTCTAGGTGTATGAAGCACCAAATAACTGTTTGCACTCTCTGACTTTCTATATTTCACTCTTCAAATGCACTAACATGCAACATGTAATATTGGACACTGCAAGTAAGAAAAACATAGAACATATTACAGAAGAAAGCAAGAAACAGGTTCATGAAGTCATGGCCTAAGATAAGAAAGGTACACATCACAGGTAATACAAAAGTAGAGAATCCAAACGGGGACCAAATATATTTAGCCACGAGAATGCAAGTCTGAATCCGGTAACAGCCAAAAGGCATCAAGATGCAATTTTTACTAAAACAACCGGAAAGCCAATTCGAGAGTATATATTATTGAACTAAAAAGGAAATAAAAAATCCAAAATTATTTGAGATTGAACCCCAGAAAGAACCATCAGAAACCATTATTTACCTGGAGTGGATGCTTTTATACACTTTCACGTGAAAATCCACTTTCGAATTGGGCTTCCCAGCCCCACAAAAACCTGTGGCGTTTTAACAGAAGTGAAAACAATTCCAAACTTCATATCAAGAAATCATTCCTACCGACGATTAAGAAGAAAAATGAAAACCCAAACGAGATCTGGATAAGAACACCGACTTGATGAAAACCTTAAGCCCTCGAAACCTTTGCTGGCACAGCTGCAAAAGGGCGATAAAAGATTGCGAAAATTACAATTACGAAAAGGATAAACCTACGACATTAAGAAACTTCAGCTTTCATCGGGACAAAAAGTACCTGAGAGAAGGCTGACAAAGACGATCAAGTCTCGCATTCAGGCACGAGGCAGGCGTAACCGCCATTTGAGAGCTGCGATGAACTGTGAGCTTAGAAACGAAGTGATAGGGTTTGGGTCTTGTTGGTTTAATTGGTAGGGAGGGCCGGCTCAGTACTGACCAAAGCACTTGGCTTGGTTAAGTTACATATATTTCAATTTAGTCCCCAATATCTATTACTATATAATAAGGAGAAGAAAAACTATTTGAAAAACTTTGAAAAAAATATTTCATTTCCCGCTTCTTTAGTCATTCTTTCCCGCTTCTGTTTTTCGTTTTGAACAATTTTCAGCAAATATTTTTGAAATTTTTTGCATGTCCCGCTTAAACAATTTATTAACCAATAAGTCACATCCAATGTTTGGCAAGTAAATGACATCCAATTATATATTATTTTAGACTCATTTCATTTCGTTGGGGGAGAAAAAAAAAAGAGTCCTTAGATTTTCAAAAGAAAAAGGAATAAATTATTTGATTATTAATCAAAATAAGTAATTAAAAATTATAAAATTATGTGACCTAAGTAATATGTACTTAATATAAACATAAAATCAAATATTGAATATTTAATATCATGAATGATATAAATTTAAATTTACTACTAAATAATACTCCCTCCTATTCATAATAAGTGTCGTTTTGGAAAGTTGCACACTAATTAAGAATAATTTTTTTGCCAATAATAACCCTCATTAATGAAGATAGAGATGGATGTTTTAAAAAAAGATGAAGAGAATATGAAAAGACGTAGTGTATTTATTAACTAAATAAGGGTAATAATGGAAAAATATGTACAAAAGATCCAAAACGACATTTATTTTGGTTAATAGTTGATAAAGCCAAAATGACATTTAAAAAGAATATGAGGTAGTATTTTTTTTCACGTTAATGTCAACAAATTATTTGATTCAAACAATTTATCATTAAATATCTAATAATCAACAAATCGTGAAATCCCGTGGCATAGCACGCTACAAAAATATGACATCTATTAATATATAAAAAAACAATGATATTTACTTGAAATAGTAACTAAAAATCAATAAAAAAATATTTGGTTTTCCCGCCTAAAAATTCAAAATTACTAAATTGGGCAATTCTTTTTTCTTGTCAAAGTTTGAAAAATCCTGCCTAAGTTAATGTAATTAATGTACAAAATTATTTTGGTCAAATATTGCGGCTATTACCTTTATTTGTTGAATAATTTAAATGTGAAATATAATATATTGACAAAACTTGCAGCTATTACCTTTATTAGTTGCATAGTTTAAATTTGGTATATAATATATAAAAAAATAAAAATATTTTTATTTAAAATTAAAAATAAAATAAAAAACAATTATTCATAACTTACGGGTCAATATTAACTTGGACGTGAATGAAATAGTCAATTATTTATAGTTCAATAAATTACTCAACTACTTAATTTTTTTTATTTGAATAGTTTATACAAAAATAAATTATTTTAAGTAATGACAATATAAATTTTATATTTATAATTATTATTCACATATGTTGTTAAATATATGATAAAATTTTACCAAAATAATTGTTTTATGTAATCACATTATAATCAAATCGAATTTTTGAATAAAAAATTTGAAATGACACTTATTTTGAAACGAATATAATTTAATTTATTATCAGTTATATGTATCCATGGGTTGTGTACTAATTTTAAATAGACATTTTTATGTAATTTTTCACAATTTAAACTTTATATAATATTTTCAATAAATTAATATAGGTATTTGATTCTATATTTTTAATTTACAAATATTATTTAATAAAGAATTTTTAATTTATAAATATTAATGAATATCTCTTACCCGTGCAGTGCACGGGACTCATACTAGTTTGCACCTGAATTGCTATTCAGGTTATTATACGTCGAGCTATTTTAACATAATAATGACATAATATAACAAATGAAAAAAATAAATATAAAAATGATGTGGGTGTATGTTGGTTGTTTATTAATGATTATAAGTTAAAAGTTAATAGCAAAATGCTACAAATATATAATAAATGTACATAGAGCCATAGAGGTGTACAGGACCGTCTCCAGATATTTAGAGGCCCTAGACAAGTTTGTTCTTTTTGAATTTCTCGATTTGAACTTGCGTAATAATTAAGCTATTTGCAGATAGAATCATAAAAGAAAAAAACTTAATTAAAAAGGACTATTAAATAAAGAATTGAAAAAAATATTTTTTCTTATTTTCTAAACTTTGGAATTGATAAATAACACAATGAGAAGAAAATAAAAACAATATCACTGCACAGAATATTTATTCTCACACAATTGTTCTAACCAAACATCATAAGAAAACAAATGAAATATTTAGGGCCTCAACTTTCCACACAAAATAATATTTTATCATTAACTCATTCATTAATTAGGCCTTTCATTTGTATAATGACCCAAACTCATCATAATACATAACATTGAAAAATAAAATGGGGTCCCAAATATATGGGGAGGCCCTAGACATGGGCCTAGGTTGCCTCCCAAGGAGCCGGCCCTGGAGGTGTACATAATACTCACATAGAGTGAGGTTTACTTGATTTTTTATTTTTGGTAAGACCCACTCAATGTGAGTGTTATGTACACCTCTATGTACATTTATTATGTACTTGTACACCTCTTGTACCATTTCTCAAGTTAATATGGTGTACAGCATAACAAGATTGTCACATTGTATTATGTCAAAGTCTATGCCCTCTTTTATATTACTGTAGCACGATTTGCATAGTTAACCCTATAAATAATTTGAATTCGCAAATTGACACAATAACTTAATAGTTTTAAGAGACAATTACACTGAAAGTTTGATATGTAAACATGTGGGGTAAACTTTAAATAGTGTGCTGACTCGTTCGTCGCATGTTCGATTAATGGTTCGTTGCATGTTCGGTTAGGTCTGCGGTCAGTATGCCCATCACGCACATGCATCATATATATATATAGGTAATGTGGGATAAGAACAAACTCGATAAATCAGTTGGCCTGGCCGGACGAACTTGGTTGGTTGAAAACAAACACAGGGAGGCCAAACATATGTCAAAGGTTGTTACAGAACAAGGAGTCCTCAGGTGGAGGAGGACGCCATAGGTTCAATGAGACACTGACAGGTCGAGTTCGGGCTCTCGGATGGCGTGATGGAAGCTCGATCTGAAAGCATGACTAGTCATGTGATCAACCAGAAAGATGATGCGCGAGCTCAACTTATGCAACATTCTACCTCAAGGTGATTCGGACCAATCGCACGATTATGCTGTCTAATAAGACAAACTAATTGATAAAGAATGAATATTAACAGGATAAGGATCACACGTGGATAAGGCCATGTGGCCTATAAGAATTGGACAATTCGAGCAATACGAACAGGCTGTTCTAGCAGTCTAAGCAGCTCACTCGGGCAGTCTTAGGCAACAAGGTAGCATCTCCCTATAAAAGAGAGTGATGTATGTATTTTAGAACATTACACTCTATACACACTTACATATTGTACATCATTTTTTTTTTTTTTTTTTCACATTTCTAACTCAAGCATCGGAGGCTCTTCACCGAAAAATCCCTTCAATGTCGAGTTTTTGCAGGTCTCGAAGGCCATCCACCCACGAGGAAGACATATCAAGTCGAACTGGGCCAATCGAGGGTCTTCTATGTACCAATAGGCAGTAACGGATCTTGGAATTTACTTAGGGGCCTCAATTTTAAATATTAAATAATGAGCTTGTAATTTAAGTCGAAACGCTCATTTCATATAAAAATGTGTGTACTTATAAATATAAATATCCATAGGTGTACCATCAAGTTTTTAAAAACTTAGAATCCGTATCACCCTCAAACTTTAAAAAAATAAATAAAAATAATATGAGATTTCATGTATTTATAATTTAAGATCAACATCTATAATTTATGGAAAAATAAGTTTTTTGATTGAAAATTTAAATTAAGTTGAAATTTTACAGTATATTGCATAACATTTTTGTTTATGAGAGCTAATCAAAAGACCATTTTTTATTAAAAAAAAGTTAAAAATATGTGATTACATAAAAAATAAAGTAAAAAATCAACATTAAAAAAATCTAACAATCAAAACTAAATACACGATTTTATAAATCACTGAATCGATTTACAATTAATAGGCTGACAAAGTAAATCATTATAAACATTTTTAAAAACTTATCTAGAAATATGAAATATAAGAATTGTCAGTAGATTTTTTTAATAAATAAAAAATATTATTAATTTGATTAAAATAGCATAAAAATTAAGTTTTAATTATTTATACATTGCAAAAAATATCCAATTTTTGTAGTGTTTTCTTTTTATATGTATATATATAATGAATTTTTTTAAAAAAAATTAGGGTGGCCCACGAGTCCCGCTGGACCTCATTTGGGTCCGTCACTGCCAATAGGTGTTCACGTTTCAGCTAACAACAATGCTAATGGGACCTGTTGATACAATGAGCTTAGTTTATTATCGTCATATTGACAGATTAATATTGTTGTTTAGTTCAATTTTTCTATTCAGTATTTAGCAACCATCACAAAATTTATGTGGAAAATGAAATTCGCCTTGTGTAAAATTTAGTGCATGATCAATCTTTTTATAATTAATCATAACCAAAGAAATAAAAACTTTGTTTGTGTCCACAATACAAAAATTATTGTGACAACATAGAATTACTGAAACCGAATAAAACAACTATCACACTTCAATATATTCATATTCTTCACTAGTACAACGCCCGTGTACTACACGAGTGTTTAAGGAAAACATTAATTGTGCAACAAAGAATTTAAAAGAAATAAAATTCTTGTTGTGAAATAAAAATAATAAGTAATTAAGAATAAAGTATAAGTATTTTTATATTATTATAATTCTAGAAAATATTTTGTATAAATTATTATTTATTATATTTAATATATATTTATTTTTTTAAATTAAATATAATAAATGATTTATTATGCAATTAATATAACGCTTCGTGAACAACGTGGGTGAATAAAAATAAAATATTTGTATGAAAAAATTAAGTAAAGAAATTTATATTCTTGTAACATAATAATAAAAAATTAAGTATAGAAATAATTAAAAAACTTAACAAATTTAATTA